CAAGTCACTGATGTACAAAGATATAAATCTATACTATTATAATAAAGCGTAACTACACTCTTCTTTGTTGCCTAAGATGTCAGCAATTACAGCATATTTTTGAATAATTCCTTCTTTAATAAAAAGCCCTACACTTACGCTTTAGGCTATATTTCACGCCATTAAACTCAGGGGGTAAATATTTTGTATACAAAACCCCATGTGAGAAAGAGACCATAAGTTGCTGCCAAAATCAAGGAAGCAAGATTGTCATCATATCATGTCATTTTGACATTTGCTGTGGATAATTTGACAAATAAAAAATTTTATAATTTCATGCGGATGCAGCCACACGGGAACAGCTAGTGGTAATATAATCAAAAACGTTGGGAAATAATCTAATCAATGAAGATTTCAAAATATGCGAATGAAAAGTTTGTGTAAGAATATGTTGCGAAATTATACGGACAATAAAAGGTCCAGATTAATAATTAATAACTAAGGGACTGTCCCACCAAATTGTAAATTGTCTGATAACAATCAGTAAAATATGTGATGGATATATCGGATTTTGTTCCTATATCTGACAGTGACATTTTTAAGCTATCTGATATTCTATCAGCCAGTGGTGGGACAGACCCTAAATATGTATAGATACATGAAGAGGTAAGAATTCTCTTAATCAACATTTCGCATTATTTTCCTTTACACATAACAAATCAATTATCATAAGGAAATGATGTCCATCATTATTTCATCTATTAATTTCAACGACAGTAATAAATATTACGAGAATGATACAACAGAAATTACGTAAACTTCCTTGTAGAAGTCGAATGCCTTGAAAGAGTATAAAGCTGCTGTACACGACGCGGTAACAAGCGGTATCAATGATATACATAATATTGAATATTTAATTACAACCACAATACCTATGTTTATTTATTTTTATACCTGGCTATTTTTACAACAGTATAGCTACAGCAGTCATCCTGACTGCACTGCAGCGAACTGTGAAACTCCATATTTGATCGTCTTTTGTCTTTACATGGTCACTTATGTTATGAATGTTTTGATGGATGTTTGTTAGAATTTGTAGCCTAAACAACTGCACAGATCTCGATGAAATTTGGCATAGATGTCGAAGATAATCTGAAAGAACCCTTTAAGCGCTGGTTTTTACCAAATAATTACCTTAAATTCGAATTGTATTTAAAGTGCACAGAGCTTGATATTATTGTTACTTTTGCAATTTTGAAATCAAGCATTGAGAGCATCTCATAACAGATAGACGCGAAAAAATAAAACATAGCACCAAAGCAGGGCATGTGCATTCGGCATACAAATCGACAATTAACTACGTTAATAGCTCTGATATACCAGATTGGATTTCTAGTAAAGAATGCTATTTAAAAAAAGCTACGAGCGACCACCGTGGCGAGTCTGGAAAGCGTAAAATGTCTACGGTACTCTTGATTGCCGGCAATATTGAACACACATGGTACACCATTGAAATTACGTTCCGTTTTAAGCATCTGTAGATTGCTTTGATTATTACTTTTTAATAGCCAATTTCTTCCGTACAAGTGACGATTACTATATACTATAAAATACTACTATACTACTAAAATTATAAATGCGAAAGTTTAGATGGATGGTTGGATGGATGTTTGTTAGAGTTTGTAGCCTAAACGCAACGGATTTCTATGACATTTGGTATAGAAGTAGAGGAAGAACACATAGAGTACTTACTTTTGTTTTTTGTTTTAATTCCACGCGGACGGAGTCGCGGGCGAAAGCTAGTTACATTATAAAGTTAAATTATAAAGGTAAACTTTTAAATGTAATTATCAGTCGTTTTTTATTTTAAAATATTCTGGTATCAATATTTCAAATAAAGATCAAAATAAAAATATATGCATTAAAAAATCAGTACAAATTTATTCATTATATACAAGTACATTATATAGAAATGTAATAAGTGTAAGAAATTACAGAGTATTTAAAGTACGTATTTCAACAATTAACTATATATCAGTATTTAAACAACAGTTTTTGATGAAAGTAGTATTTTATCACAACTAGTCCAAACAAGCTATAAACTGGTACAAAATTAACATAACTTACAATAATGTGGTCGTTAACAAATAAAACTCGGCAAATAGTTTTAATAACTAGATATAAATTACTGATGAAAATTGATTTTACAGATTTTATTGAGATAGAAATTTCTAAAGTTACCACTTAATTTGTGGTTTTCAATAAATTTCTATTATAATATAAGTAATAAAATGATTTTATCATGGCACTTGGAGTGATATATTTACAATGTTGAAGTAACCTTGGCGTAAGAAAATTAATTAACAACTGATTCGTAAAGATTACTAGGATTTGTGTTGTTTGTCGATGTTTATATTTTTCTCAATACTGCCACCTAAAAATTCGTATCCATAACAAAATTCTTGTAAGTATAATCTTAACACTTTCGATTACTCGTAAAACTTCCATACACGAAAATTTACAAACCACAATCAACTATTATAATGTACTTAAAATTATGTAATCGAATCACTTTCAATGAATTCAAATTAAACATTAGCAGTCCTCACTGATAAGATAGGTGAACTGGCGTAATGAACTACGTCATCGTATGATAACGATTCAGTCAAGAAATATCCAACTAATCACATTCTGAATACCCCAAATTTACTATCCCTAAATGGTGCATTCAATGCCGCTGATAGACTGAGTCCTATCACCTTCCTGGTGTCCTGTGGCGCCACGATACCATCGTCCCACAGTCGCGCAGTACTGAAATATGGCAGCCCTTCCCTCTCAAACTGAGCTT